ATTCTGAGATTAAAGTCAGAATTCTGAGGAAAAAGTCAGGATTCTGAGATTAAAGTCAGGATTCTGAGATTAAAGTCAGGATTCTGAGATTAAAGTCAGAATTCTGAGATTAAAGTCAGAATTCTGAGAAAAAAGTCAGAATTCTGAGATTAAAGTCAGAATTCTGAGATTAAAGTCAGATTTCCTTTTTTTTTAATTTTTTTCAGTGGCCCTAATCGTCTTCCGTATCTTCTCATAATAAAATAAAGCATTGTGTTTATTTGTGCTGATCCAGATCTTTGTAAAAGAAGTTGCCTAAACTTGGAAATCATGTATAAAATATCCAAATAATTTTAGCAGAAATTATACAACAAAGTAAAATATAAAGTTGGCTAAATAGCAACAACAAAGTTTGCCAAATCTAGTTAGCTAACTACTTACAGGGAAAGAAATGTCCTAACAAATTATAGCAAAGATAGCTAACAAGCTATCATTTTGTGATAATATTTTAATTGTGGTACTTGTTATTTTCCTTTTAACTTCACCAATTTTATAGGGGTGAGAATCTTGAAATAATTAATTTGATAAAAAAAACTGTATAATGTTAGGTTTTATTGTTTTGGGTTTTTGCAGTACAGCCCTGCTATGTTTTTATTGAAACAAAATAACTTACATTTCTAAATTTTAAGCAAGGAAATTAAATAATGACAATTAGACAATGTAATTATGAACTAAAAACATCTATGAAATCTACACTTCTTGCCTGCTAATGAGTTGAAAGCTGGGCACTACCTCCTTTCATCTGAAAAATAAATGAAACTGTCCCTGATTTTTAAATTTTTTTTATATTTATATGTCAGTGTCTAATTTTCCCTCCCACCGTTTGGGTCTAAAATCTTGTTAAAAGAGAAAAATAGAACAAGTGAAAAGAGCAAAGTGACCACATTTCCATCCATTCCGAGCTATCTGTTATCTGGCTGCAGATAGAGTCATTACCTTTCTTCCTCCATCTGTCCGTCAATACAAGGTCCATTAAGCTGAGCAGCGCACACTCAGATCCATTACAGCAACAGACATTTCCTCTTTTCCCACTCACACTTGCCCTTTCATTAGATTGAAGCCCAGGTAATGCAGAGTCCAAAAATAGCCATCAATGAACTGTCTTACCAAATTACACGTTAGAGATACAACTGTTGTGTAAATCTGAGCCTTTATAATCTGTTCATATAATGTGTTAGAGTTCATCCACTCACCTCTCATCACAAACGATACTTTCTTTATTTCCATGTGGCCGATCTCTGGTGATTTTGTTGTGCCAGGAAGTGTTAATACAGAATCATATCTCATGTTCAAAATGACTTGTAAAGCCCCGAACCCATTAGCAATCAATTAGCGATCACATTTTTGGTTCCATGTTTCCCAGATAAAATTTGCTTTTTCAAACAACATTTCAGCTTTTGTTACGTTCTCATGATGTCGCTCTTCAAAGCTGCATGGCCTTTAACAGATGTGGAAACTTCTATGTCAGTTTGGAGAAGAAAACCCAGATTACATGCTTGTTTCCTCCGCCATGTGTTCTGAACTCATTTATCTGCTCTGTGTGTGTGTGTGTGTGTGTATGTGTGTGTGTGTGTGTGTGTGTGTGTGTGTGTGTGTGTGTGTGTGTTCGTTCATAGCTCACTGCTGGAGCAGAAGGAGGACCTGCGAAAAAGACTTTCCTACACGACACACAAGCTGGAGCTGCTGCAGAACGAGTTCGACTCCACCAGGCAGTACCTGGAGACAGAGCTGCGGAGAGCACAGGAGGAGCTGGACAAGTTCACAGATAAACTGCGCAGGTGGTCCCACAGTCCTACAGTCCTACAGTCCCACAGTCCTACAGTCCCATAGTCCTACAGTCCTACAGTCCCATAGTCCTACAGTCCTACAGTCCCACAGTCCTACAGTCCTACAGTCCCATAGTCCTACAGTCCCACAGTCCTACAGTCCCATAGTCCTGCAGTCCTACAGCCCTACAGTCCTACAATCCTACAGTCCCAGAGTCCTACAATCCAACAGTCCTACAGTCTTACAGTCCCATAGTCCTACAGTCCTACAGTCCTACAATCCTACAGTCCCACAGTCCTACAGTCTTACAGTCCCATAGTCCTACAGTCCTACAGTCCTACAATCCTACAGTCCCAGAGTCCTACAGTCTTACAGTCCCATAGTCCTACAGTCCTACAGTCCTACAATCCTACAGTCCCAGAGTCCTACAATCCCACAGTCCTACAGTCCTACAGCCCCACAGTCCTACAGTCTTACAGCCCCACAGTCCTACAGTCTTACAGCCCCACAGCCCTACAGTCTTACAGTCCCAGAGTCCTACAGTCCCACAGTCCTACAGCCCCACAGTCCCATAGTCCTACAGTCCGACAGTCCTACAGTTCTACAGTCCCATAGTCCTACAGTCATACAGTCCTACAGTCCTACAGTCCCATAGTCCTACAGTTCTACAGTCCCACAGTCCTACAATCCCACAGTCCTACAGTCCTACAGCCCCACAGTCCTACAGTCTTACAGCCCCACAGTCCTACAGTCTTACAGTCCCAGAGTCCTACAGTCCCACAGTCCTACAGTCCTACAGCCCCACAGTCCTACAGTCCTACAGTCCCATAGTCCTACAGTCCCACAGTCCTACAGTCCCATAGTCCTATAGTCCTACAGTCCTACAGTTCTACAGTCCCATAGTCCTACAGTCCTACAGTCATACAGTCCTACAGTCCCATAGTCCTACAGTCTTACAGTCCCAGAATCCTACAGTCCTACAGTCCTACAGTCCCACAGTCCTACAGTCCTACAGTCCCACAGTCCCACAGTCCTACAGTCCCACAGTCCTACAGTCCTACAGTCCTACAGTCCCACAGTCTTACAGTCCCACAGTCCTACAATCCTACAGTCCTACAGTCCCACAGTCCTACAGTCCTACAGTCTTACAGTCCCAGAGTCCTGCAGTCCCACAGTCCTACAGTCCTACAGTCCCACAGTCCCAGAGTCCTACAGTCCTACAGTCTTACAGTCCCACAGTCCTACAGTCCCATAGTCCTAGAGTCCTAGAGTCCTAGAGTCCTACAGGCCTACAGTCCTACAGTCCTACAGTCCCACAGTCCTACAGTCCCATAGTCCTACAGTCCCATAGTCCTACAGTCCCATAGTCCTACAGTCCCACAGTCCCACAGTCCCATAGTCCCACAGTCCCACAGTCCCATAGTCCCACAGTCCCAC